AGGGATTTATTTGTGTCAATAGTGTGGACCAACTTTACCTATAAAACCTACTACCATTAAGTATATTCTGACTCAATGCCTACTTTTGTTGTTGTTAAATGTTGCTGAGTTGGTTCTGACTCATAGTGACCCTGTATAGGGTTTCTAAGCCTCATCTTTCTCCCACAGAGTATCTGGTGGGCTTGAACCACAACCAGGATGGTGAGGCTCTTTCTCTTGTATTTCAGCCATACTGTCAGGAGGGACGAATTTCTGTAGAAGGACATCATTCTGGATGAAATAGAGGAAGATCTCTAACGAGATGGATTAGCACAGTGGTATCAGCGAGGGGTTCAAGCTTGACAACTGTTGTGAGGATGGAACAGGACCAGACAGTGTTTTGTTCTGTTGTGGATAGGGTCTCTATGAGTTGGAACCAACTCTATGACACCCAACAACAACAACAATCTGAAATTTCAAAATCCAAAAACTATGAAACTGAGAACACTATTTTTTTTTTTTTTTTTTGGTGCTAATTCTGTTGGTAGCAAAATCTTGCCTATATATATATGTGAGATTAGATATAATCTTTGTTCATCTATTTAATTTGAATATTTTCCAATGAGAAAACATTAATGTATTAGATGACTGTACTGGCAGTATTTAAAAATATATGATAAACACATTAATTATTTTTAAAATTATGGAATCAATTTGAATTTCAAAGTGTAAAGGCTTCAATTATTTGTGAAAGAGATTGTGGACCATTAATAAAACAGAGAAAACCATATGTAAATGAATATTAAAGAAGCACAAGATGAAAGTAACTAGAAAAAAAAATAGAATAAATACTGAGATCCAATATAAGAATAATTGATGTCTATAAAACAGGGAGACAAAGAGAACAGAAAATGTTTTCAAAGATCTAATACAAGGAAAATTTCCTGAAGTTAAGAAAAGAATGTTTAAAAAAAAAACCCTCCATGTAATGTAGGAAAATTTGATAAGCAGTTGCCTTTATGAAAAAGTTATGAACTTCAAAGATAAAGAATAGACACCCAGCCGCCACCCCCCCCCCAAAAAAAAAAAGAGTTGTCTACTTACAAAGAGGGAAGAATAAACTGGTCTTCTTCTTGTCCACAGCAATATTTAGTGGTTCAGAAACACTGAAGTAATATCACAAGTTTTTAAGGGGAAAAGATTATGGTCCAGTATATACAGCCAAATATCAGTTGAGTGAAAAACAACGGAGAGACATTCTTGAACAAAATGAATACAGTGGATATAAAACCCAGAAGCCCTTTTACAAAGCATATTGTTTGACAATCCAACAAACTGGTTGTTTAAACACAACACAAATTGTTGAATAGAGAAGCTGGATTAAAAGACCTGGTGATGAGCAATGAAGCCATTTAAGATCATCTCTCCATGTTGTAAGTTACATACAGAAAGACAACTTCATATCAACATTTCTCATCTTTCTGAACAATATATCGCCTTGGGATGTTCTAATTCTAGTGTTATCCTCTCAAGCCCTACATTATTGTGGCTTAGTATTTTAACTTTACTTAAAAATTCCTCCTGAAATAGTGATTTATTTTCTTTTATAATCAATGCTTACATTTTGACAAGATGTTTCCACTGTCTTTGATTATCATTGCTTATTTCATTCCAAGAATTGAATTCCCTCCTTCCGGAAGTACATCTTGTAGTCATTGTTTCAATGACATAAATCCATTTCCAGTTTTCTTTTGTTTGAAAATATATTTTGTATAAAAATTTTTCTGAGCACAAAATTTGCAATTGATAGCTGTGTCCTCTTTGTACTTTGCAGTGGTTACGAATCGGGCTGCGAACCTTAAGGCCAGCAGTTCGAAACTACCATCCGCTCTGCGGGAGAAAGATGAGGCATTCTGCTCCCGTAAAGATTTACAGCCTCGGAAACCCTGTACAGGGTCGCTATGGGTCGGAAACGACTCGACGGCACTTAACAACAACAACAACAACAATCTTAATATTACCTGATCTCCATGCTTTTGAGAAGGTAACTGCTGGTCCTGTTGTTCATTTGTAGGCAATTTATCTTTTCTGTCTGGCTGCTCTAAGATCTTGTCTTTCATGATGCTGTCTGGGTATGGACTTTTCCTTCCCTTTCCTTTCTAGCTCTTCTCTTTCTCCTGTCCTTTCATCTCCTCCTTTGTTTCCATCCCTTTTGTAACCTTTCATTTTCTTTCTTTTATTGGAATTCCATTTAACTATCAGGTATGGTGCTGTAGGATAAGCACTGTAGGTCCACCGGCTGCTCCTCGGAAACCCTGTATAGGGTTGCTATGGGTCGGGAGTGACTTGATGACACCGAACAACAACAACGTTAGTTATTTTGGAACGAATCTGTATTTTTAGCATATTTAGTATATCTATTTAAGAACATGTTACTTATACTCATTTTAAGTATGTTTGTTGTTGTTGTTGTGTGCCTTGGAGTCAGTTCTGACTCATAGCAACCCTGTACAGAGTTTCCAAGGCTATAAATCTTTACGGGCACAGAAAGCCTCATCTTTCTCCCGTGGAACAGCCGGTAGTTTCGAACTGCTGACCTTGCGGCTCGCAGCCCGATTCGTAACCACTACGCTATAGGTTTTTATTTTTTGAATCATTTTATATTATTCTAATTAGATAAATGTATAGAAATATAATTGCTATAATTGTATTTCAATTTTGAATGAACTCTTTCTGCTTTTAAAATGTATAATTTCAATTTAGCTATTGCTTTACCAAAGATTTTCTTTTATTTGAATAATATCTATAAGGTTTGTTTTAAAAAATTTTTTTTCCCATATGGATAAACCCAAATCTACAGATTCTACATTGTGTGATAGGAGAAATAAAAGTTCAAAACTGAAAATATCAGAAGTAAAAACAGTGACAAAATATTTTTTTTAAAAGGGCAAGTGTATTTTAATTTATTAGTCAAAATATGATTGTACATTTTATTTTAAACAGGCAAGAAAAGTAATAAATATGATAAAGTATTTAAATTTCCTGTTAAAGATTACACATCATTAATGGCAGAAAGATGTAGTTGTGAAGAGTGAATCAAGCGTAAATGGGAAACAAATACACAAAAAGACTGAGTATATTAGCTTTTATATTAGCTTTAGTAGAGTTGACATGATATGAACCAACAATACTTAAAAGATACTGAACAATTCCAATGCAGAGTTAGTAGAAATAATTTTTGATGTATCATAGCATATACCCAACACAGAATCAACATTTGTATCTGTGGATAAACCAAAAGTAATAATCAATTTGGATGAGCTGACTTTGTGTCAGTCTGATTTTGTAAAAACAAACCATGCCCAATCAATTTGATAAGAAGCATTTGAAAAACATAATCTATTTTAATTATAATGAGATGTTTTTGCTTTATTGTATGTGACATGTATTTATAAGCTAAGAATATATGGTGTGATAGTCTGTTCTCTGTGGAGTTCTAGTTTGGCTCTGTCGGATAAGTACTGGCCTACTAACCACAAAGTCAGTGGTTTAAACCCACTAGCCGTTCCTTGGAAACTGTATTCAGGGTCTTTGTGAGTCACAACTGACTCGACAGTATTTAACAACAGCATACTGTTCCCAATGGCTGGTTATCATGAATGCTTTCCTAAATGGGGATTCTTAAAACTAGTTTCTGGAATTTAGGGTAGAATGCTTTGGATCCAATCTCTTGTGTGAAAATCTGTATAAAACACTTGAGAAATCACTAATTAAATCTGCAGATACTACTAAGCTATATCCTAGTCTTGGATATTAGAACTAAATGTCAAAACAACTTTGAAATATTGGAATTCTAAACAATTCATCAATACTTATAAAGAAACCTATAAGATGTGACCAATACCAGGGAGATACTTCGGGATCTACATGGTATAGAAAGACGCGCTCAAAGGAAGTATCAGTTAAAAAATCGCCATTATGTTTATAGACCAGAAATTGAGCTGGGGTGTGAAGATTATCATCAACCAAAATGTGATTTGTATTTTTGAAAAGAGAGTGAGGAAGACATTAGGAAGAAAGGGAGGAAGGGAAGAAAGACAGAGAGTGAAACAGAAAGAAAGGCAGACAAACATAATGTAGTTGTATTAACACCAGGCCTATAAGAACCAAAAGATCACTCTCCTATCCAATGCTGGTCATGTTTCTATTAGAACCTTATGAGCTGTTTTATCAACACATTCTAAAGTGAAGTGAAGAAATGGAAGTGTATTTGAAGAAAAGCAATAAGAATGATTGAAAGGCTCAAAAATATATCCTGGGCTGAAAGGGTAAGAATTTAGTATTGTTTGGACTAGAAAACAAATAATTAAGGGATGATTTTTATTATCATTTTCAAGTATATAAAGGGTTTTTGTGCAAGGTAACCCCCATAGGGGATTTCCTAGGGCGGTAGAGGATGCAAAAAGTACAAAGGACCTTAAGTTTAAAGCAGGAAGAGATCAGATTGGGATATAAGGCAGATGTCTTTGCCATCAGGGTGATGAAAATTTGAAACGACTTCTAAAGGAGACTAGGAGGCAGGCAGCGATGAATCTACACAGTGTCTGTGAAATCAAGTGTGATTGTTAGTTTGGAAAAGACTGCCTGAATCAGGGTTAGCAAACTACTCCCCACAGGCTGTCGATCTGTTTTTCTATGGCCTGTGAGCTAAGAATGATTGTCGCATTTTTAAATCATTGAAAAAAAAAAAAAAATCAAAAGGCTATTTCATGACACATAAAAAGTATATGAAAGTCTATTTCCTTGTCTACAAATAAAGTTTTATTGGGATACAGCCTTGCCTATTTATTTCCATATTATTGGTGGCTGCTTTTGTGGTGTTGAGTAGTCCTAAATGAGATCTCATAGCTCCCCCCAAACCTAAAATACTTACTATCTGGCCTTCTATAGAACAATTTTCTTGACTCCTGACCTAGAGATTGTATCCACTTACACAATACTGGGACTTTTGTCTACAAAGTCTAGAAGCTTTCTTTGTTGTAATAAAATTGAACGCCCCTGGGGTCAGCTGATGAATACAAGCGGCACATCTTTTGAAGTGTCTTTGAGAGAGCCTTGGGTCCACAGAAGAACACACCAATGCTACTGCTGCAATAGAGATAAGAAAAGGTGTTACATGGAACAAGGCCAATGGGAACCAAAGCGAAATTATAGCATCAACAGAAGAGTGGTTGTGACTTTTTGGTTTCATTGTGTTTTGTTGCTATACCTTTTCCATTTCTCCTTAAATGTCCTTTCTCTACTTTCAGCTCCGCTGTATCTCACCCAGGTTCCTAGAGTCCCCCGACACCCTCACTTACACAGGCAGGTGGGTCCTGGAAGATGGAGGCTGTAAGGGGTGATGTGACTTTGGGGGAGAAGTGATATGGAGATGATGTAGCCTGAGAACTAGGTCAGGTGACTGTGATGAGATCCACTGGTATCTGTGACTAGAATATAGGCTCTGTGAGAATAAGAACTTGGTCTGACTTACTCATCACAGTAACCCCAGGACCCAGTGTCCAGCACTGTGTGCTCTGTAAGTATATGGTTGTAAAATGAAAGAATGAATGCTTCCGCTGCTTAGTAACTCTGTGGTCTTGGGCAAATCACAGGATCTCAGTCTTTGCGTGTGGAAAACAGAAACATCTATGTTGTACGTCTTATCAAAAGCAAAATGAGCAACGCCTTGAAAGGGGTTTGGACTAATAATATTCTGTTCAACCCTGCCTTTTTATAGAAAATAAAAATATATAAATTAGTAGTAACTTAGTATTTTTTCTTCTCTTAAAATTGCCTAGGATTTTTAAAGGGGACCAAAAAGAAGAGTTAGCAAGGGAAACAAAGCCAAAAACAAAAAAACAAACATTGCTAAAAAGGTAGTCACCAATTGTTATTGTCTGTAATCATGACATTCCTGAAAATGGGGTTGAGGAGCTGTATTTGCATAAAGTCACTGTCTAAGGTCTTCTCAAATCCCCAGGGACCCTGACAGTTTAGCTCTGTTTATCGATGAAGCACATGTGTTATTATTATTTTACTAATATGTATACTGATATAGATTACTAGTCCACACACATGTCTGCAGTGGTGCCCACTGTCTGTGGAAGTTGGAGTGGGCCAGGCTTTACAGGGAACTACAGACTCTGTCTCCCTTCATCTTGAATTTTGTTAATTCTTGGAGCACTTTCCCAACCTCTGGCACAAACCAAACTAGTGACTTCATCCTAGATCAAAGAAATTGAAGATTTTAAAGGATTTTTTTTTTTACTAACTTCTGCAGTCTGAAATTGATCAAAGGTACAGTCAAGATCCATTGACAATTACTGGTGATTGGGAAATTGGAAACAAACTGTAGGGATCTGCAGTTGGAAAATATGGCCTTGCTGATAGAAATGATGTTCCAGATGGCATGATAGGATTCTGCAAGACCAACAACTTATTCGTTGCAAATGCCCTTTTCCCAACAGCCTAAATGGTGACTATAAATATGTACCTCACTGGATGGAATACATAGGAAATAAATTGACTGCGTTGATATAAAGAAATGAAGACGACGTTCAGTATCTTTAGTCAGAACAAGGCCATGAGTCAACTACAGAACAGACCATCAACTGCTCATAAGCAAGTTCAACTTGAAGCAGAATTAAAACAAGGCCATGAGAGTCAACATTGTTTGACATTGAGTACATCCTTTGAGTACATGATCCTGAGTACATCATTCATGAGATGATTGGAAATCATCTCAAAAATGGATCTGATACCTTGAACATTAATGATTGAAGATCAAACAAGTCTTTAAAAAGACAGGGGCAACTGTCACAACTGTAAAGGTAGAAGTTTTGTAACAAAAACAGGGAGTAGTTAATCTTACAGTCCAGAAACAGAGGACCCTAGGACCATCAAGGGAGAAGAGCTCAAGCGGAATGCAGGATCCTATCCAGAGAAGCAGCGACTCCAGAGATGGAGGCAGAGATGGGGACATGAAGAGAGGGAGCAGCTGAGGACTCTAGATTCATGAGGGAATGAGAGCTGGTGGCCAGGAAGCAAACTTGCAAAATGTGCGCTCTGGTGGTTTAAATTATTATACATGTCTGAGTGTTTTTGTGTACATTCCTCCGTACCGCTCCTACCCCCTTCCCCCCCCCCCCAATGGAAGCAAATACTGTTGAATGATGATGCACAGAGGAGACTACAATCACTGCAATGAAATGATGGTATAAAGCCGATGTTCTCCCATGTAAACTATCACTCAGTTCACACACACACACACAAAGACAGGGAAGAAACAGAAGACCAAAATGGATGTCAGAAGAAACTCTGAAACTTGTTCTTGAATGTAGACTAGCTAAAACAAATGAAAGAAATGATAAAATAAAAGAAATAAACCAATGGCAGCTTGAAAAGGCAAGCTAAACTGTTATAATGCAACGTGCAAAGATTGGGAGTTAGGAAACCAATAAGGAAGAACATGCTGGCATTTCTCAGGCTGAAAGACCAGAAGAAACAATCTAACCCCTTAGTTGCAGTATGAAAGGATTTCACAGGCAAAATATTTACAACACAGGAAGCATCAAAAGAAGATGGAAGGACTACACAAAGCCACTGTATCAAAAAGAGTTGGGAGACATAAAAACATTTTAGGAGGAAGAATATGATCACGAACTGATAGTATTGAAGGAAAAAATCTAAGCTGCAGTGAAGGCATTGAAGAAAAACAAGGTTCCAAGAATTTGTGGACTACTCACTGAAATATTTCATTAATGGGCTCCGTGCTGGAGGGGCTCACTCAGCTATGCCAAGGAATTTGGAAGACTGCTACTTGGCCAACTGACTGGAAGAGATGCATATTTGTGCCCATTCCAAAGAAAGGTGAGCCAACAGAATGTGGAAATTATTGAACAATATCACAAGAACATACGTTGGACTTGCTGTAAGGAAGGACTAGTCTCTAGAGAAGAACATCATGCTTGGTACAGTAGAGATTCAGTGAAACAGAGGAAGACCCTTAGTAGATTGGCACAATGGCAGCAACATTGGGCTGAAATAGAGCAATGATTGTGTGGATGGCACAGGACCAGGCAGGGTTTGCTTCTGTTGTACAAAGAGTCGCTGTAAGTTGAGTTGAAACCATCATGACAGCGCCTAACAACGTAGCAACAGCCTAGATCAGATATTCTCAAATTTTGCTGTGCATAAAATCATCTATGCAGAATGTTAAAAGAGGTTGGTTCCCAAGGTCAGATCCAAGAACTACATTTTTATCAAGTGCCCCAGGTGATTCTGAAGCAGGCTGTATTTGAACCACACTTTGTTAAACACTATCTTAAGAGAAATTTATCAAACTTCAGAGCAAACCCTTTTCAACATCCCAAACCCACCTTCTTTGAGTCCTTCTGACTCATGTTACAGAGTAGAACTGAGTACTGTTGTTCCTTTTTTATTATAAGCGTTATGGAAGTAGATTACCAGATCTTTCTTGTATGGTGCTTTTGAACTGCCAACCTTAGGCCAGTCGTCAAGCACAAACTGCTCATGGCACGAAGGCACTTTCGCTCCCTTTAGACTTCCATGCCTGGTTTTTGTTGGTAAGTGTCTGAAGGGCTTAGTTCTTAGGTTATGGATTAATATGGTTCTCTGATATTTTCCTATCCAAATTTTAATTATGCACAGCATTTTTATGGAAAAAAAATAGGGGCTGCTTTTAGGTCCATTAAACCCGATAATAGAAATGGATGAATCTATCACATTTCAAACTCTAGCTTCAAGGGAACTTCTCCCTAAGTACTATTTTTAGAGACAGCATTCCTGTAGTTTGATTCTACAGTGTGATTTTTTTTTTTCCAGAATTTTTTTCTCACTGAAAATAAGATTTGTAACTTAGTAAAGCAATTCTAAAGTGCTTTTAGTGGTGAGATAGTCAGTGCTTAGGATTGCTGTTGCTTTTACTACTTTGATGCTGCATAATTTGAAGTGTGCTACTTTTCAAGGCCTTGATTTCACATCTGTAAAATGGTAACAATACTAGTACCTAGCTCACAGAATCTCTGGGAGGAACAAGACGTTGCAGGTATGGCTCTTAGCCACATATTTAGTACATAATGAACTTTCAGTTTTGTAGTTGTTGTTATTAGGTGCCATTGAATCAGTTCCGACTAATAGTGACCTTATGCACAAGAGAAGGAATCACTGCCCGGTCCCACACTATCCTCACAGTCATTGTTAAGCTTGAGCCCATTGCTGCTGCCACAGTGCTAATCCATCTCATTGAGGGTCCATCCCCTTTTATAGCGACCCTACAGTTTACCAAACATAATATCCTTCTCCAGGGACTGATCCCTCCTGATAACATGTCCGAAGCATGAGAGACAAAGTTTCACCATCCTGGCTTCTAAGGAAAATTCTGGTTGTACTTCTTCTAACACACATTTGTTCGTTCTTTGAGTGGTCTGTGGTACTTTTAATATTATTCTCTAACACCATAACTCAAATGTATCAGCAAAACTCAGATTCCATTATTATTCCACATGAGGTCTGCTGGTCTACCTAATTCATGGAGCTGAACTAAAGATATGGGCAATAAATCAAAGAAGATGACAGATTCCCTGACCAGAACTGTTTTGAGCTTTGGACTAAAGCAGTTTGAGTAATGTTAGATGGGACAGCCAAGATCCTTCCCAGTGAGGAGTTCCACCTTTGCTTTGTGTCTGGTGCCCAGAGATCTCTTTGCATCTATTTTCAAAGATGCTGTGATGTGTGGTAATATTTGCCATTAGAGTAGATGTCCCCAAAGAGCTTGCCCACTGGCCTACTCCCAATAGGATAAGATTGCCCTTTCGTTTGCAGCCACAGTAGCTGTTTGCAGAACCTGGTAGCACTCTTTGAAGCTCTGCTTTAAGACTTCCTTTCAAAGGATTCCTATTACTGGCTGCCAGGTGTGTTACTGACGTCCCCCCGACGTGCACAGCTATCCTGCCTCTTTTGAAGTTGTGGCGATTACACTGTACAGCTAAGTTCTCCCTTTTCCATATTAAGGGCCCATCACTCCTGGTTGTGTGATCACCAAAAAGCCCCACCAAGGAAGTTCTGTCCCTACGCAGTGTGAAGGC